GGGATCTGAGTTTGTTTAGTGTGGAGAGTAGACTAATGGGGGTTCTAGTATCTCCAGTTATCTAAAAGAGGCTACAAGGAGGATGGAGCCATACTCTTCCTCACAGTGTGCAGCAAAAAGACAAAGGGCAAAAACCAGAAGTGGTTGCAAAGCAGTTCTAAAAAAATACTCATTGCAGTGATGGTGATTAACACTGGGACAAATTATCCAAAAGGTTGTGTAATTGCTCTGGTTAGAAATATTCAAACCTTGACTAGGGAAGGCCCTGTGTAACCTGGTCTAAATTTGAAGCTGGTCCTGTTCTGGGCAGAATTTTTGGTGAGGTGATCCACAGAGTACTCTTGTAATCAAAATTAATCTTTTTACCTATGACTGATAAAATTCCAAGATATCTGTATGTTTGCTGTCTTTCCTGAAAAGGTACCGACACTGCCAACCACATGGTTGATTATATGGTTTTAGAAATATGATTTTGGTCTGTTGTGAAGGCAATACAGATGTGTGGAACTAACTAGACTTTGGGATGACACTCAGCACTATATCATGTTGACAACAGGCCACCTCAAGCATTGTCTGTACGTATACAGAATAGAACACAGAACACTTTTAGAATTTCAAAGACATTAATCTGCTTAACTTTCATTGAGGGATTTACCCACATTGCATAGGAAAATAGAGAAGAGACAGCCTATCCACTGACTGTCCTCTCCTTGCAGAAATCTGCATTTTCTTGGCTCTTGCTGGAATCAAGCAAACCACTGCCAATTCTTCTAAAATTTCTAACTCCTGTTCTCTTTTTATCAGCTAAAGAGATGTGTATATACAAGAGGCTGGCACTTGCATCTTGTATGTACTCATTAGCTTGCCCCTGCTCATATTTTGTGCATCGGTATGTGGTGGAACTGCAGAGTGGTGTGAGCAGTGTGCCATGCAGGGGTCCAGAGCTCACTTCCAGATCCATGAATGTCTTGCACCCCTTATGTCCAGCATTTATACTCCCATGTATGCTTGAGCTGTGCCAGGTAGTGCAAATCACTGTATGTATGGTCAGAGAAATTCAGAGCAGCTATAGGTGCTTGCAGCTATGATGAGGTTGAACCTGAAATGGAAAATTCAGTTCCTGACATATAGTAAACAGTTAAATCTTCCACTGGTTTAATTACCAGAATACACTAACATTGATTAAATTATTCTTTTTCATATAGAGTTTTGATCAAACCCTAGGGCTTTTAGTCCTCAAAATATGGTCAAGGGTAATCAGCATTCTCCTGCACTGCTCAATGATGCTGCAATAAGCAGTTTGTTAAATATACCTGAAAACTCTGGGAGCTGCCCAAATCTTTCCCTTGGGAGCTGGGGAAAAGATGCTGTGATTTGGATTTAATTCAGACTCACAATGCCAAGATGAACCTCCTCAGTATGGAAACTACTATTTCAGAAGAACGAGAGATCAGAATTTCAGAGGGATTGTAACCGTCTGCATGAAACAAGGTTCACAATATATGGGCCTATTATAGACTGGCAAACCAATTATCAGCTGTGGTATGGGTCAAGTAGTGAAAGCAGGCCAAACCATCACTGTCAGAAATGGACATAGCTTCACTGAAATCAATGGAATTGAACAGCTTATTCCAGTGATAAATAATATGCTGCAAGTTTCACTAGCTTTTAAAAAAGGTTTAGTAAGAAAAGCTTTCACTGCAATGACTTACAATAACGCCACGTAAAGCATGAGGGAAAATCTCATTTGTTACAGAGGAGGAAGAATGTGAATGTAGATCTGAATTATGCTGTGAAATGAAAGAATGTGTGCCATTTGCATGCAACAGACACCTTGGTTCCCAATCTAGAGAGGAAGAATTATACTGCTGTTTTTTTTTTTAGCAGAGAGAATACTTTGTATTAGCAGCTACTCTAGAAGGTATTCTATTTACTCAGAATATTCACGTGTGCCATGAGCGAGGTCTGGTGCACTGAAACTTGCTGGCAGCAATCCCAGAACCTTTCGAGGAAGTGTACATGGATGTCTGCAGTAATTTATTGGCCACTGTTTGCAAACTCCTGAGAAATGACATTCCTGAGCTCAAACTTTGTTTAACTTCTTGCTAGAGCACTGCAACAGTGATAATTACAAGGTATTGTTAAGGACATGGTGCTACTTGCTTGATATTGGGAACTGCTTGGCAATGGATGGCAGAAACATTCCATTAAGACTTGTGGTCTCATCTTGCTGTTCCCCTTCTAGAGAACAGTTTGGCAGTGCTAGCAAGTGTTTATTTATTTAACCTGAAAGTCACCACTGTAGACAGATGTTATTACAAGAATGTCCCACCTGATTAATTTCTCCTGATAGCCAAAGGCTTCTTGCATATTCTTTCTCAAAAAGAACATGATCTAAGGCAGGTGTAGTCTTGCTCATTACCAGAATGAATCCACATATGTTATGAGGTCTATTTATGAAAAACGTGTATTTCTAAAGATGACTCCTTACTATATGTAGACATTAGGATCTAATTCTATGATAGGTATTGAATTTTTTCTTACCAAATTACTATGACACTGAGGTCAGATGCAACATATTGGTGTAAAGCAAAAGGAATTATTTAAGGGATGCACTTTGATAGGACCTGATTTTTTAAGAGTCTAGGATAAGCCTAAGGCTGTAGATGACCCTGCCTTCAGCAGGGAGTTGGATTAGGCAATCTCTTGATGCTTTCCCACTTCATCTAATGTACGATCCTGCTAGTTTCAGCTTTCCTAAAATACTGTACTTATTTCCTTAATCTTGATTCATATCTCAGTGGATTACTGAATGGAAAATGAAGAAAAAATACAATTTAAATGTCATTTATTATATATTCCTGTCATCAGAATTGTCATTCAGCAATACTACCTCTTAAACTCAATTTTCTGGCACAATTTGGTATGAGTAGAGAGTTGGATAGGATCTCATTAGAGATTCATTTATATAATTTATACGACGTGTTCTGAAAATACTGTGAAAGACAAGCAGAGATTACATCAAATTTTTCTAATCTGCTCCATAGCTGTTCTGACTAAGGATAAGGAATAAAACGCAAGCTGGAACTAGAAACAGAAACGATAGATATCTGAAATAAAGGGTGATTTAATCTACTGCTCTTTTTGCTGCAAGGTTATCTCAGCATCTATAAACATTTCCCAGAGATCTACAGTGTTTGTGTTTAAAATATACCAACCAGTTCCAATTTAAAGACTTGTTAAAACTATTCCCTGCTCCTGACATCATCCAAGAACAACCCTTTAATCTTCTCAACAGTTTATGACTAAATAAAAATTCTTAACTGATTTTTTTGAAGTTGATTGTGCTGAGGCACTTCTGTCCAGAGGGCTGCTAACACTCAGAGAGTTTGGCCTTTACTTTGAAGACAAAAGGAAAAAGGAAAAACTGTTAAAAAACATTTTTTTGGTGCTTATTTCTGTATCCAAGATAAAATAAATTTTAACAAAATAAATCAGGAAGTATTAAAATAATAACTAGAAAAATCTTCATATTTTTATGTTTTGTAAGACAAGACAAATTACATTTATACTAAATGAAAAAAAAACTTTATAGATCTGAATTTTCTGAGCACTATCAGAAGATCAGATTGATACCTGTATCCAACATCATCAGCCTACATAAAACAGCAAATGGTATTTTATGTTTGTGGTCATGTGCATTTATATGGGGTGCACAGTCACATATGCTCTAAGAATCAAATGAAATTTGGAGAGCAGAATGAGGTTTCTAATTATCTTCTATTAAAATTAAAACAGACCTTTAATTTCTCTTGGATATATTTCTTCAGAGCTGAGTCCAGCCTCCCTGTTTCAAAGACCCCTAGATGAGATCAAATTGATCTCAAAAGTGATGCATTGCAGACAGGTGACATAAGCACATAGAATATGGGGTGCTGTGGTTGTCTGAAATTTTTGATGAGCTAATGTGGAATTAAGCAAGGTGATCCAACTTTCAGTAGATGGATGCTCAGGGCTTTATTGTAGACTTCTTTGAAATGCTGAGCCAAAAACCAGAGATGGTCACCACATTTGAAAAGCTGCCGCCTAAATTGGCTGTACAACTAATATCCTGTACATGCCTGCAATCATTCTGCTGCTCCAAGGTCAGCAGGCATAGGAGAGCCAACAGCTTCACCACTTACACTCAGGATAGTGTGGCCACATGTAAGCTGCCCATCAGGAATGCCAGTTGGCTTCTGTCAACTCCTGATTCATGCCCAGCAGTGATGTGGGAGAATGACACATGGCCTGGGCCAAAACTAAGTAGAGACCATGCTGACAATTTGGATGATAATCGATAGTGGGTTTTTTTATTGTTATGGGTTTGCTAGCTTATCATCTCTTAACTTCACCATTTGGTGGATTATTTGAACTAACAGAAGGAAACAAGAAACATAACCCAGAAGTGCGTTCTTTGCTCAATTACAGACAAAGATGTTAAGCCACAGTAATGTTTGCTGGCAACATAATGAAAAACAGCGAGATGCTCACATCCTAAAAAAACAGCTGCATGTACAGGTGTCTGGAGCAGATGCCTCCCTAAGCACAATGTGATAAAAGTGATTATTTCTTACTCAACAAAGAACAATCCCAAACAGGGTATTTAACGGAGGATGATAGTGCAGGTAATTAGGAGCCCCATGCCTTACACATAAAGTAATGTTTAAGAGAGTGAAGCTGAGAACCATCTGTACTTTACACATGGGTCTATGTTTGTGTTTGCAAGCAGTTGTGGGCAGTTTTCAACCTGATTTCTCAGATTTTTCAGCTGATATCCTACTCAGTAAGGTTTAAATGTCTTATTCCTGATTTTAACAGATGGCACCTTGCCCTATAACTCAAAAAAGAAAAAAAAAAAAAGGCAACAGAATGTCATACTTGAACAAAGGACATTTCTAAGAGAAGCAAAGGAATAGCCTGCTTTTCCCACAAAAGATGTACTTTGTGCTTTCTCCTACCTTTGGACTTCCTATCATGGTAGCTCCTGCCTCGATAATGGTGGCCACTTTCTGTGTACAAATTTTCGAGATCTTCTTTCCAGGAGTCTGGATTGAAGTGTTTAAGCAGATCTTCCACAGTGTCAAATGCAGCAATAGTCTGATCCAAGGCCTCTGCTGTGAGCGTAGGGTCGGTCACTGATGGAGAGGGATAGGAGACCCCCTAAGAGTGACATACATCTCAGTGTACTTGAAAAAATTATACCACCATACAAAACAATTAACAACAGTCCCGTTTCATTACTGACTGAAACAGCTACTTTGGGCCATCTTTTGAAGTTCTTAGCTGGGTCAGGTTGCATTATGACTGTGTTTTATTTTGCAAGAAGAGACATCAAACTCTCAATGAAATCCAGGAGGAGACAGCACTGCTGAACTGACCACTTACACTTTCCTCAAAGGGGATGGTGGTTTGTACATGTGCCAAGAAATAAGGGAAATGAATTTTGAAACCACTGGGATGGCCACAACCACAGAACAGAGGTGCCATACAGTGCTGGGTTGATGCCTTCGCCATTCTGCCAGCTCTGTTGGTAAATCTATAAAAGGCATTTCAGAAACTGCAGCAGAAAAAGACAAGGACAACAACTCCTCTAGATTTTGTGCCCTCCTCCCGGCCCAGTTAAGACTTGAAAAGATGGCTTTTTATATTCCCCAGAATTATATGTTATGAAATACTGATGAATGCTAATTCTTCCACTCTTATACAAAAAAATAAAACATGCTTAAAAAACTGAAAGCATGATATTTGGCTCTCAATAATGTAGTAATGAATATTAGGATTATCAACATAGTGTTATCCTCACAATAATATAATAATACCAAATAGAACATTATTTGTAAGCAGGAAGGGCCAAGTACCACTTTCTGAGCATATCTGTCTCCCATTGAATTTGTAGCATAGATGGACTTTACAGAAAGACTGCAGTTACTTCATTTTTACTGGAATTAACTTTAAACTTTTTTCTTAAGTGTGATTTAGAAACACAGTATTCAGAACCCTGATGCCATCTTTTTCCTTGTCGAAGCACAACACCTCATAATATTTGTGTAAAATATGCAAAAGAAAAACTAATAATGCACATTTGTTAATTTCTGGAGAACCACAATCAGAATAGTTTTTCCTGCAGTAAAACTCATAACACAAGAGTTTTGTTTGGATTTTTGTGTTAAGCCAAATTATCAGGGCAAAGCCCTTTAAAATGAAAAAACTCTCTTCTGAAAACTCAGCTCTGAAGCAATGTAGTAGAAATATAACATTTAAAATAAATGGTCCCCCCAAATAGTTTTTTTGCTTGATCTCTCAAGAAAATACATATGTTACACCATTAATCTTTGTGATTAACTTCACTCAGTTGAGTAGTAATGAAAGGCTCATCTCATCTCATATGTTACTCATATGTTTGCAGGACTGAATTCTTCAACAGTTGCTAAAATAGTTTTTGAAATGATCATTTGTTTTGTCTTTGCCTGTTAGCTGTATCACAAAATGTATCATCCTTAATATTTTATTGCTTTTGTTTGTTTCAAAATATGGACAGTCTAAAATATTATATACAAGAAAGAGAATAAATTGAAAGCATTACAATAGCATGGTCAAGAAAGCCAGGCTCTAACTTGCTGCTTATAATCCGTAGCACAAGAAGTTTCAGAAGGTGCATTTATGCCTGTAGTGCCTCTAGAATGCAGTGCTAAGATGCAGTGCAGGCCCATTACAGGGGAAGGTATACCTCAAAGCTTCTCTCCTGACTTGTAAGGGGCTTGAAACAGCCACTGCCAAAGAGATGGGCGCCCTGGGAAATGAGAAGCTCCTGCCAGTGAAACACAGCACTGCTATCTACAGTGCTGTCACTGACCATCGTGCAGTGTGCTAATACAGTCTTTGAGGTTACAAAGGAAAAATGCATCAAAATGCAGCTAGCTTCTTGAGAAGAGTGCATGGCTGGTCTGTGATCACAGCCCGACCACGAACTGGCAATCCCCACTCCCTTTCAGAAGAGACAAAGGTAGAAGGTGCAAGGATGCTGAAGAATTACCAGCACAAAAACTGGTTTGCTCCAGTGACCCAGTGGAGTACAGCAAGGAAATCCAAACGTACCATCATCCCTGGTGCCATTTCATAACAGATCTGTGGGTCAGCCTGTGAATTTGCAGGGCATTTCAAACTAACAGGCAGCAGGGATTCCCCATTTCCTTTTCACACAAAAACCCCTACTTGAGAGATTTGTGCAATCTAGTTTGCTTAAAGAAGAAAGCTTAACTTTTTTTCTCAGTGACAGCCAAATCAAGAGGAATTATTGCAACAGCTCAGATAACCTCCTGGCAGCTCTATCATGTGACAAGCCCAAAAGTAACTTCAAAGCTGCCAACCCAACTGCCTCTCTTTTGTCCTGCCAAGAACAAAACACAGGCTACAGAAGAGCTTGGCTTTTTGTAATCTGGCTTCTGAGATAGCATCCAAGGAGGACAAGAAGCAGTGAATAGCAAAGACTTTCTCATTATTTATTTCTTCTATATTTCTTAAAACACATTTTTAGTTTCACAGGATACAAAAGTATCTTTCCTGTCAGTGCTATTACTCGAAATTTCTACTGCATTTCCCCCGTTCTATTATGCTTTCTATTTGTATTGTGAAGCTGGCAGGCTTGTCAATGTGCATCCCAGTTATTTGTTGGTCATGACATTACATCACAAATTAAGGATACTAACTTAAAAAGGAGTGCATTTTGTTTACTTTTTTTTCCAGGTTAGCCATTCTATGTTCTTAAAATCATAGAATCATAGAATCATAGAATTTGTTAAGGACAAAAATACTGGTTTTAGCATTCTGAGGGAAAACATAAAATATGGTTATGTGTCTGATACAACCTCAGATGAGAGCATCTGCTCAAATTCAAATTTTCATTCTAAGCAATGTAATTAACCCAGATCCTAGAATGGTCCTTTGTGTTACCTGTGGGTTTCAGGAAAAAAAAAAACAACTTATTGGTCATGGTAACTTACTAACAGCAGAACAAAATGTCATCTTGTCAGCATCTAACAGATCCAGGTTTGCCCTTCAGAATCCTCAGGACCACCACAGAACACCTGAATGTTACCCTCTTGAAGAATGTGCAGCCCTTGGACTTTCTGCATTGGTGGTATCTTTGGGAAAAATTACCCAACCTCTCCACATTACTTGGAGGATAAAAAAGGGCTAGGGGGTGCAGTGAACACCAAATGGAAGATGGTATGTTTGGATGGATAGGGGGATGGTGTAGGAAAAACAATGAAACTGGAGAAAATGAAGAAACTTGGGTTCTGCTACTGGTTTAACTGTAAGCTTCTGTGGCCATCAGCATTTTAGCTCTGATGTTGGTATTGAACTTCTCTGCCTCTAACACCCTAACAACAAATAACTAACAACAAATGAGTAGATGTATAAAATGAATTAAAAAATTAAAAAAAAATCAATATGAAAAAAAAACAAAATACTTGGATTACTGTTTGACATATTGTACTATTTATGATGTTAAGAAGGATAATTAACATGGTGTTTAACATATATGTGATCTCATTTTCATAGTTACCTGATGAGGGAGCCCTCGCCTTACATTTTCTACCAGAATCATAGAATTGTTTGAGTTGGAAGGGACCCTTAAAGGTCATCTAGTCCAACACCCCTGCAATGAACCTACAGCATGATCGAGTTGCTTAAAGTCTCATCCAGCCTGACCTTGAGTGCCTCCAGGGATGGGCATCCACCAGCTCTTTAGGCAACAATGCCAGTGCCTTACCACCCTTATTGTAAAAATCGTCTTCCTTATATTCAATAAAAATCTTCCTTTTTTCAGTTTAAAACCATTTCCCCTTGTCCTATCACTACACACTCTACTAAAGAATCTGTCCCCTTCTATCTTCTAGCCATCCTTTAGATACTGAAAGGCTACTATCAGGTCTCCCCAGAGCCTTCATTTCTCCAGGCTGATCAGCTCCTGGACTCTCAGCCTGTCCTGACAGGAAGTGTTCCATCCCTTGGATCATTTCTGTAGCTCTCCTCTGGGTACATTCCAACAGCTCCATGTCTCTCCTGTTCTGAGGACCCCACATATGCAGTACTCCAGGTGAGGTCTCATCAGTGCAGAGAAGGACAGGATCACCTCTTACTATGCTGAGCACACTTCTTTTGATGCAGCCCAGGATATGTTTGGCATTTTGGGCTACAAGTGCATATTGCTGGCTCATGTCCAACCTGCAATCCACCAGTACTCCCAAGTCCTTTTCAGCAGGGCTGTAATTTATCCTTTCATACCTCACTTTGTACTGATAGTGGGGGCTGCCATGATTTTGCACTTGGATTTGTTGAACCTCAGAAGGTTCACCTGGACCCACTGCTTCAGCCTGTCTAGATCTCTCTGGATGGCATCCTGTCCCTTGGGCATGTTGACTGCACCACACAACTTAGTGTCATTTGCAAACATGCTGAGGGTGCACTCAATCCCACTGTTGCTGTCACTAATGAAGATGTTAAAGACCACTGGTTCCAGCACTGACCCTTGTGGGACACCACGTCACTGATCTCCACCTCATCGCTGAGCTGCTGACCACTACTCTCTGCTATGATCTTGGAACCTCAGCCTGCCAAATTTTTAAACAATGTATTCTATCAGATAAATTCTTTATTTCAATCCCATACTAGAACAAAAACTGAGCTTATATCTTTCAATAAAACAGTATCTTAGTATCTTCCTCTTGGCACAGGCAGATCTCAGATCTGCTAACATTACTACTGAGGACTTTCAAGAGAATTGTTCAAGGTTATCATAACATTTTATTGCAAAGAGCAAGTAGTAGCTGCAACTGCAGATGAGATTGGATTAACTTCTTTTAATTTTGGCATTACAGAATTTTCTCTTTGCTCGGTGTCTGGCTTAGACACTAATCTGTAGGATTTACTCTTCTTTTATTTTTTGCTCCTCCACTGGCATCTCCTCTTAATTTCTGAAACAAAGGTGCTGTCAGTAAACTCTCTTCCATAAATGTTCCAAGCATGGATCTCACTGGTCTCAAATTCTGCTGTGAACACACATGTAAAGGACTGCTCATATGAAGAAGTCTAATGCTAAATTGCTACTTCTAGCAATATAGAACTTCTAGCAATATAGCCAACAATTTAAATTTACTTGAGAAACGTGGGAGAGAACATGTTTTTAGCCAATGACACAAATCAAGTGCAATGTAGAAAAAAATAACTGTACACTTCCCTTCCCTTTCCCCTTTTCTTACTTTCTTTTTTATTTTCCTTTTTTCCTTTTATTTCCCTTTCCTCTTCCTGACTCACATTTCATTGCTGGATATGGAGACTTTAGATACAGTGTTTTATGACAAAATCTTAAAAAAGCCTTATATGAAGAATGAAAAGCTAAATCCCTTTTTCTGCCAGTCTATTTTTAGTCTTCTATTTAGATCAAGAGCATTTCATAAATGAAAACTATAAGGAGTTTGTATCTTTTGCTTTCATCCTGGCAGAGTGAGTTTGGAAGCAAGAAATCTTTCCCAATGGCTGGTCACAACAGCTGATAGCATACTTTGAATTTCTTTCTCCTTAAAAAAACATTGGTTAAAAAGCAGGAGTTTGATAATCACTTATTTCATCCTCTGCCAAAGGTGAATAGATGGTTCCTCTGTGTAGGCACTATAATAGTGATTTGGACTCAAGCTTATCAATCCAAAATAGAAACAAACTACTTACTGAGACAGAGCTTGTGACTGATTCCCAGTTGGTTTCTGAGGCTGCATGCTGGAAATCATCCTAAAGGGAAAAAAAACACAGGAAAAATCACATTAAGGCACTGTCCTAAATTAACTACAGAACATAAAGTCTCAGCATTCAACATCATTTCTTTGAATTCTATTCCATGAAAGAAGAATTGCCATATATAATTCCTAAACTTTTCCATGGGATAACTACTACTACTAGCTACTTTCATTCAGGTTTCTCCCTTCTCACTCTCTATATAAATAAGACCCTTGTAAGCTTGCTGAGGCAGGGCCAGATATTATTATTATTTGTAATATGATACACAATTGCATTCATAACAGGGTCTAATCTGGCCAATACCACTAGAAATATCTTCTAAATACTATTAACCACTTCTGCATGTATGCAATCAGAGTGCAGTGCTGCTTCCCAAACTGACCCATTATGGAAAGAATGTGGGCATACCTTGGGTACTTAGTTATGGTGAAAAGCAAAGTAAATTAATCCATTTGAAATGCAGTCCCAATATGACTGTCCTGCTTTTGGCCTTCGTACTGAACAGGATTTGCTCGTCTCTGCAGAGCACTGAATGGCACTATGCCATTTATACCAAGAAACACAGCCTCTATACATTTACATTAGAAGGATCATATCACAACTCCTCTGGGCATTCATGATTAAGCTGAGCAAGGGAATAGGATTTATATCATCTAACTTTGAATAAAGCAAACATCTAAGATAGTCTTCTTTCCATTTACAGTCAACTAAAACTAGCATTTTTAGGATGCAAATCATCTGATCTATTTTAGATACCTAATCTGGGATGACGTGAATTGGATTCTAAAAAATGCTTTTTCCTCTCCACCGTCCACAAAGGCAGCCTGAGGTAACTAGCTTACATACAGATGTCAGTATTGTATGTAGACACTGACCTGTGGTCAGCTGAATCCCAACTCATTCATCTGACTAGTGATAAGCAATAATTACTTAAATGATTGGCATGAACAGGCAGGTAAGGAAAGTGGACTGAAGTGACAGTATACGAAGATTTTCTTTTCTAATAATGGAATTCATCAAGAATTTAAAGAAGATGGATCAATGTCTGATCTCATTTTACAGCGACTCAGTCTCTGCTATGCATTTAAGTTGACATCTTAGAAAGGAAAAATGGAAGACCTGTTATTCAGCTGGTCCAACCTAGACTCAACTCTGCATGGGACCATATATATGTGAAAATATTTGTTATTTCTTACAAATTCAAAAGAGAAAAATTATCACATAATCTGTCAGTTCATTGTGGTCCTTTTCAACCCAGGCCATTCTGCGATTCTATGATTCTATGATTCATCAATAAATTTTTTCCTCTGTCAAGAAAGAACAGAGTTGCTTTTAGACACAAATTTCACGTATCTGGTACCAAACTGTTTTTTGCTTGCTTTAAAAAGAATTTAAAATGTCCTAAAATACATAAAATTGTTTATTCAATATTGTTACTCTTACTCTTCCTTAATATTGTTCCTTTCTCTTGATGAGGCAGCAGAACTGTAGTGATTTAAATAGTACTTTAGATTAGTAGAAGTTAAGTAACCCCATCAAACTACAGTGTCACCACATGATCACTGAAACTGCAGGGCTGTTAAAACATTTATAATTACAATGGTCATTTTTTTTCTGTGAATACAGAAGCAAAAGATTATTGGAAAATTACTTCATGCAGGCATTTTATAATGAGTAAACAGATCAACAAATGCTATGATCAGATCATAAATAATTCAGGAGTGGTAGATTACCTTGTCCAAGTTTTCTATAAATTTGATTGCCCAGTTATTGACAAGCAATGCTCTGAAGTGCATAGAAATGGATTTAAAAAGCTCGTGGATCCTCTGGTTGTAGTTGCCAGTTGCAAAACTTGGAAATCATTTCCTATCTGTCATTAACTTCCATTTATCATTTCCAGAAAAAAGTGGCATTCAGTCCTAAAGCATTATTTTAAAACAGGAGCAATCTGGCTCATTGAATGCCTGGAGACAAGACTGCAGACAAGGAATAATTTTGTGTTTGAAGTGATGGCCCCCTTGTGCTATGTAATTGTAGACATCAAAGCTGTTTCTTCAAATCTATGATTCTTTGAGATGGCTGATGACATGGAGCCCCTCCAACACCCTGAGACAGGCAGGTGGTACACATGCCTCTTGGATCTCAAACCTGATGACTGCGTATTTTGATTCTGTGATTATATTTCATCTGCATAAACTATTCACAACTAGATGGCTTTGTTCCACCATCACTTAAGGCAGCTGCAGTCGTTTTTGGCTTCTTAGAGCTTTCAACTTCTACAGTTTGAAAATTATTATTATCTTTGTCTTCTGCTTGCAGCTATTTCAAATAATAAAATCAATGCGGTTCTCATCATTGCAAAACTCTTTTTTTTCTCACCTAAAAAAACCTAAAGACATATCTATTTTCACTGCTATCTATCGAGTTCATACTACCTTGTTTATGTGAATTTGCATATGATCACTTGGCTTTGTTCTCTTCTGTACTTAAAATGCCATTAAAATCTTCAGTTAAAACATTAAAAAAAGTACATCTGAAAAAACAGAGTGGCAATAATTTGGCTACAGCACCCTGACAACAACACTTTTGTTCATATGTGCACCATGGCAACATAACACTATATGAGGTTTCACCAAAGCACTGCAATTACTGTTCTACAAGCAGCAAAACTACAGGGCTTTTATTTATCTTCTTATAGAAGTTACTTTTGCTGCAGAAAGTTGCCTTTCATACCTCAACTTCCAAAACTACATCTCAGGAAGCCAAACCCTGAACGTGTCCTCAGAGTTATATATGTATGGATGTTGACATATTGTCCGTGGATCCGTTTCAGACAAAGATAAGCTACTCTCATCCTCACAGACTGACATTGTTTGCTCTCTGTATTTGAGCACTGATCTCAATAAGTGAGATGGACACACAGGCAATATTTTGCTTCTCTAGAGGATTTCACAAGAGGAGATTGTGAGGCCTAATGGCTGCAATCAAGGATAAATGAGACTGCAGATAGATACCACTGGCTGCTCAGGAGCTGCGAGGCTCAAGACATGGGGTCTGCAGAGTCAGTGGGAACAGGGAGACATGAGGAAGATGCCAGGGTTGAGGCTGGGCCTGCTGGAAGCCTGCCAGTCTGCAAAGCACGTTGTCCACGACTCCCTTTGCTGTACCATGAATCCAGCAACATGAGTCCTCAGAGCCATGCTGAATCGCAGTCCGGTCCTCACGTTAAAAACAAGAAGCACTTTCTGGTATTTCTGCAGTCCTTGATTTTTTACACACTTTATCACTGTAATCCAGTCTTTTGTCATGCTGGTGCTGGAGGTCTTACCAGGTGTGGTGCCTGGGACAGGACACAACCATAACAGCACAGGCACAGCACTGGCAGCTCTCTCTCCAGATAAAGGAAGCAGCCCCATATCTCTGCAAACTCATCGCTTGTCACAATCTGCACGATCTGGGGCTAACTAGATTTAGGAAATTAAGGAGCTAAAGAAACTAGGGAATGATGAGCATGACAAAGGAAAAAATAGCATAGAGAAGCTGAAAGTGCTGCTACGCACGGTTCATTCATAGTATTTAGATGTCAGCTTCAAACCATATAGCAGAGAAGCTGCTTCTAGAGGTTTGCAGAGTAATAGTGCTAAAGAATATTATCAGCCACAAAGCAGGTTCTGCAAAACCAAATGAGAGCAAAAGGGAGCATATTCAAAGAGTTCCTGAGCAGAAACAGAAGGAAATCAGGATTATTCACTAAAGCATAAAACTGAATGACTGGGATAGTGGAAGCCCTGTAAGAAAAAATAGGGTAAATTAAGAAGAGATGAAATTATCCGGACATTAAAATTAATAAGAGAAAAATCGATGGCAGCTATTTTAAAACAATACTCAAAATGCATTTATTGCAGTCAGAGCTGTGAGCAGACAGCTAGCTGATATGCAGATAAGCTTGCAATTGTAGTTGTATCAAATTATTCTAAAACTGCAATAAAGTCTTCCTTTTTTTCTGTTTTTGTTCCTATAACAAGCATTAATGCCATTGTTTTCTCTGAACACTGAAATTTACTGTTATTAGATTTTATATAGAAAGCAGCAGATGTTTTTAGCAAATAAAACACAAACTCAGTATATACTGTGTAACAGAAGTGTTAGGGCAAGTAATGGGCAAAATAAAAGTCACAGTTCCATTACAGATAATGCTGTTACAAATACTCAGGTTTTTACACCTCCACTGATTCATTATAATTTCCCAGGCAGGGTTTTAGTATAGTCCAATTTCTATTCTTAAAGATAAATAAAAAAATAAAGATGTACACTTTGAAATAGCTTTACTGTGTTTTCGATCCATCACATTATGAAGTTTTAACTTTCCTATCAGAATGATATTTATTACTAATTTTCCTGAAGATGCTAAAGGATACCTCTTTTCCCGCAGCAAACCACTTACTGGGAATGGATAGGCTGCATTTTTCTTATCTACAGTGATTGCCAAATCACCACTCCATAATATTCTGGGTGTCTGGTCTTTAAAATAAAAGATCTTGAATTTGGAAAGAGTAAAACAATGATTATTTGTAATGTAGAAAACATGATGTACAAAAGAACACAGTAGAGGACGGTGTCTTACAAGTTCAGAGCTCATTTAACTTGGTCTCTCCAGATAACAACCTGTAGTTAGCTTCAAGAGGCCATTACCAATGATAACATGGTCTTTTCTTTAGCAATGCAAGAGTTTAACAAAATCAGGAAGCTGTAATCAGAGCTGTAACTCAGAGGGCTGAAGATCCCCTACAAGGACTGAATGAGAGTTGGACGTCTTCAGCCTGGAGAAAGCTCCAAGAAGACTTTATAGTGGCCTTCCAGTACTTGAAGGGGGCCTACAGAAAAGTTGGGGAGGAACTTTTTATAAGGGCATGTAGTAATAGGATGAGGGCAAACAGCTTTAAACTGGAAGAGGTTAGATTTGGGCAATATCAAAAAGAAATTCTTTACTGTGA